GCAAATGTTTGAATTTTCCGTTTTATTTGTAATGTTTGGTATATCTTTTGACAAAAGGTGCGTTTAATTGGCAATTTCTGTTGATGAAAGTTGCTTCCAATTGTCGATATCTTTTACATATTCTATCGCAAAGATGGCTAACTATCAGCGTGCAAGCCCCCTCCACTGCATCGATCACTCCATTTGTTTCGTAGGGAAATCAATAGACTGAGAGAGTGGGGCTCATGCACGGCGAGAAAATTTCAATGTAGTGAAGTGATCGATGTGTGAAGAAATCAATTTGTGCAGTGAAAGGGGTAGCGCTCAAGAAAGTAGGGGCAAGGGCTCGAGAGCCGGTAGTTAGCCTCTGTTCTATCGGATACTGATTTATCTGAGTTCCTACCTATTTGTACGCAGTATTAAATTATGGATATACATTAGGCACGTTATTTTTTAAGATTATATTATATGCTATTCTATTTCAAAACAGATACGTCTCATTTTACTTCTTCTTCTTTTTTATAGTCATTGAAACTTAGATTTGGACGCATAAGTAATATTGACAAAATTGTAACTTAAACTTTTATTATACTCCAGTCTATTAATTCGTAACATAATCCTTTTATTATACTCCAGTCTATTACTTAACATAATCGTTTAACTTAAAGCACATAAAGATCAAAAAGTTAGTACACATATGTTATTTTTAATTTCAACATAACACATACACAGTCATGTAATTGTAATAAATTATATAATATAGGATTACATGCTTGGAATATGTGAATTGTAAAAAAAAAGAATATTAGCTTTCATAATTGCTAATTAATATTAGCTAATTGAATTATCCTACTTTTATACTGTTAACTATTTTGAATGTTTATTTATACTTACAATTTGCGTTATGATATTATTGTAACATTATATGCAAATGATACTATACATATCTTTATCATTCTATGAAATTTTACTAAAAATATACATTTAATTAAGCATCGTGATATTTTCGTACTTTGTGCAGGTGAAAAACTGCTGCCCAGTGAAAAATATACAATGTCAGAATATGCATTGACCGATTACTCTTGGCAGATGAATCTTACTGTCAATTTTCTGGAAAAAAAGGATTTTGGAGAATATGTTTGCTCGTCTGTGAACGCTCTTGGAAAAGCTGATGGTATCGTTCGTTTACAAGGTAATGTAAAAAATATAAATACATTGCAGACTTTATAATATATCTTTTATTAATGATTGCTTATAGTCTGTGCTACGATATATCACGTAACTACGATATAAGCGTCAACTTAAGACTTAACTCAGATGGACTACATTAAAACCATGAAACAATAATTATTTCTAGGCAGTCCTGAATTAATATAGAAACACATGAGAGTGCTTGAACTACTACTATAACTTACGAACTTATCATCGATGGTTAAGCACAATGCACTTCCCGCTAAGCAAAGTTTTCTCTTCAAAATTTATTTCTGATTTTCAATATTTCCTCTTTAAAGTTTCTAGTGTGATTTTTTTGTCACCGATATGTGATTTTGACAATTGAAAAATGCTTCTAAAATCCGTTTTAGTTATGCGTAAGTTGATTCCACTGACAGCTCAACCATCGTTTTGTGTTTGTAATATGATTTTAATGTGATCCATCTGAATTAGGCCTAATTTGATTGATGAGAACGAAGATTTCTGATAAAAGAAAATTTGCAATAAGGGCAATAAGCGCATCAAAAAAAAATTTTATTCATAATATTATATGATAATTATCTAATATAATATTATATATTTTTTATAATATTTTTATATATAAGCTTTTTATAATATTATATATTCTTTATTATTTTCTCAATAAATTTATGTGCGCGCGCGTATGTGTATGTGTTCATATTGGTCATCACCTTCTAAATACATATATTTTCATTAATAAGAAATTAAAAATTGACGATTTCCATGTTTTAAAATGTTAAAAATTACAAATGTTTTATTTGTAAAATAAATAAAAAATCAGTATTAAAAAATTTTATAAACTATTATAATTATAAATTAATTCTCCATGAATACAATGGAAGAAAACTAGCAAAAAAATATTTGACGTATTTAATCTTACAGTCCACAAGGTTAAAGGTGAATTCAATTTTTTAACACTATTCTAAAAGATTATAGTAGACATTATTCTTTAAATACAAATTATTACAAATTATTACAATTATTAAATACAAATTATTAATTTAGATACAAGTTACAAATGATATACATGTTTATAACATACAAATTAATTCGTTAATTAATTCTTGAAATGTAAAAATCGAATAGGCGTTAAATATAATGTTTATGAAAAAAACGCAAATCTTATTTCGATTTAGGTTAGGTTTTTTGTCGAATATCAATTTAGGAAAGCATGAAATAAATATAATATATATATAATAATATATATATATGGTATAAATATAGTATATACAATAAATATTACA